GTGGTGGTGGTGGTGGTGGTGATGGTGGTGTGGTGGTGGTGCTTGGTGGTGGTGGTGGTGCTGGTGGTTGGTGGTGGTAACTGGTGCGGGTCGATGAGGTCGGTTGTGGTGTGGTGGTGGTGTGGTGGTGGTGGTGGCGGTGCGGCGCGGTGGTGGCGGGCGGATGGGCGCGCGAGAAAAAGGCCCGCGCTGGGGCGAGAACGCCATCCTGAACGACGGAGGCCAAGCACCGATCCGAAAATGAGGCCCACGCTGCAGCGGGAGCACGATTCGGAACGTCCTCGGGGGTTTCCCACGTTTCTGGAGACTTCCTTCGCCGCTTCGAGTCCTCGCTTTCCCCTCCCCCTCGTCATCCTCCTCTTCTCCCTTCTCGTGTCGTTCTTCCCCCTCCTCATTCCCCGTCGCCCCCCACCGCTTTCGCTACCAAGCCGGGATCAACGCGTACGGGGAGGCGCATGGTGGCAGCTCGCGCGCGACATGACAGGGTGTGCGGGCAGGCGCAGCAGGTTCGCAAGGGAGCTGGAGTGGCACCGTCAGTTTCAGCTGGGAAGTCGCGCGTGCAGCGAGAAGTGTCCGACTATGATGAAGGCCACGTCGTTTGCTCGTTTGAAGACTGGTTCGGGGATGGCCCGTGTTGGCGAAGTTTTGTTTCGAGGTCTTTGTCGCGTGCCCTCTGTCGCTCGTCTGTGCTGCCTGATTCCACATGGTGTCCCCCGCCCCCCCTCATCCTCGCTGCGACCTGCCGGCCAGTCGCGCCCGCGAACGCAATCATCTCTGCGAATAAGAAGAAAGGTTACCCCGCGTGGGCCCCAAACAGTGCGCTGTAGAATTCTAGGTGATGCAATCATTATGGTGCAAGTCATTTGGTGGAAACTCTGTGGTGCAATCTACGTGGTGCAGTTTGTGTGGTGTGAGCAGTTTTCGTTTATTCAACGCAGTACAATATATTGGGTGTGGTCTATGTGGTGTAAGTTAGCTGGTGCAATCTATGTAGTGGAAGTCCCCCTGCCGAACTTGAAATTGTCAGCTCCACTGCTCGCACAATCGTCCCACCCACCCGCCCGCAACTTGGTTTGCAAAATCCATGCGGTGGCGATTGCGATGACTGCTCGGCGCTGGCTGGCGCATCGCTGCGGCCGCGCTAGCGCGAATGCTCGTGCGCAAAGTGGCCAGCTAGTTTGGCGCGGCGCGGCCGACGCGGCCGCGGTGGCGCTGACCGTTGGGCAGTTCCCAGCGGGCACGTGTGTGCAAATCGGCGACTTGGGCGGGCGCGGTACCATGGAAACGTCGACAACAATAGACGGGATGATGATCGTCGCGATGCTGGTGGTGATGATGACAAAGACAATCGCGCGGGTGGTGGCGGCGCCGGTGCTGATAACGCTGGCGACGCTGACGGCGTCCTCGCGTCGGTGATGCGCGCGCGGCCGATGCGCGACTGTGGCCCGCATGGTAATATTTGATACAGACCATGCCCCCCCCCCCAAAACAACGCATGCAAAAACGCGTCCGATCGGTTTCGATTTGCGGCGCCGCGGGCCCGTTTGGCGGGATTTGTGGGGCGTGTTGGGCGGCCGGTGGCATTCTTGGGAACTCGCGGAGCCGCCAGCTCTTTGTTTTAAACGGATGTTGCGAAACCACTTGTTGTATGTTTTCGGGGCGCTCGATTCTGACATCCCTACGAAACCATCGCTCTTTGATAGATTCTGGCCTGCGTGCGTGACCACGCGCGCGTGTGCATGTCGTACCTTCTTTTGCAAAAGGCTCTTGCGACAGCACGCGCGCAAGGGCGTTTTTGCGATTCCGACATGCGCGCGCGAAAGGTCCGTGGGGTAGTATGTTAGAAATATGTAAACATATCGATGGTATGTTTAAAAAACTGTTGTTTGAAAACCCTTGTTTGGGAACCCTGTTGTTTTAAAACGTGTTTTCGGGATGCTGGTTTGGATTTGTTGCGCAACTTTTTTATTTTAAAAAAGAAAGAAAAGAAAACACCAAAACACAACAACAAACAGGACTTCGGCATGCGCGCGCGACAACGCGGGCGTTCGCACTTCGTCCCGCTGTTTTGCAAAAGGGTTCTTGAAAGTTGATGCGTCTTGATAAACTCGTGCAAGCAGTGGTTTAACATATGCTAAGCAAGCCTTGTGATGCAACATAGGTGGTGCAACCTCTGTGGTGCAATCCATGTGGTGCAAGCTATGTGTGGAACTGCGTGGTGCAATCGATGTAGCGGCGCAGTCCACGTGTGCAGTTATGTGTTGCAGTAGATGTGGCGTACATTGTGTTAAGCAATTGGGGTTAACAGATACAAATCATGCAACAGTATGCAGCGCAATGTGATGCAATGCAAGCCGATCCACATTAATGCACCGCGACGCAGAGCAATGCGAAGCAATGCAAAGCAACGCGTGCAATGCAAGGCGATGCAAAGCAGTGCGATGCGAAGCAACGTAATGCGACGCGGAGCTTGCGATGCGAACGGGGAGGGTGCCACGGGGGGGCGGCGGCGAGGCCGTGACGGGGGCGGCGACTGCGACCACAGGCCGGCCGAACCGACACCATGGCCTGGAGAGCCCCGATTTGCAAACACTGTTTGGGGAACGACTGCCGAACCGAGGCCCCCGGGTTCGCGCTTCGCCAGGGCTTCCCAGATTTCCGACGTGTTTTTTGTTGTTGTTTTTCTTTGCGGGGGCCCCTGCAGGCCTGGACCCCTTCCCCGGGACCGGTTTTTCATCCTTGATTCTTTTGATCGTCCCAGAGTGACAGTTCCCCGGAGGCGTTGAAATGCCCAGTATTGTCTGTGGTTGAAGAGGACGAGGACGAGGAGGAGGACGAAGAGGAGGAGGAGGAGGAGGAGGAGGGGGAGGAGGAGGTCCCGCGGGCCCGCGGACAGGACAGCCCCCTGACCACCGCGTTGAAGAGGGCCACGGAGTCGGGGGTGATCGACGTCCCCAAGGAGCTGCTGGACCCCATCGTGGGGGCCCCGGCCTGCCGGCCTCTGCGGGGGTCTGTGCGCAACTGGAAGCCTTACCAAGCCGCGCCTCGCCAGAAGCGTTCTGGGGGTGCCTGGATCGTCCCGAGTGGCCGCCGAAGGCTCGAGTTGTGTCGCGAAAGCCGCGCTTTCTTGCGGCTTGACGAAGAATCGCGACGGACGGTGTGCAGCAATTTTCGGCCTAATCAGGGTGGTTTTTGCCGCCAGACCCCAGGGCTGTCAAAGAACGGCTCGGAATGAAAAGCCGGTCCCCGGGGAAGAGACCCAGATCGTTGGGGAACCACGCTTTGAACAAGACACCGCGTCGGATGTTTGGGCCCCCCTCCTTCCTCATCCTCGTCACCTTCCTCACCATCCTCGTAACCGGAATTTCTTGGCCAATCTCCGGCTTGCAGCTGATGTGTTACTATTTGGAACCACGCGGGCCCGCGTGAGGCGCATGCTCGAGGACTAGACACTTGGCCTAAAGTTGCATATGGGCAAGATTGAGATTATGTCGAATGTGGAGTACTGCAAGGGCGTCCTTCGTCAACCTAGAGTTCCAGTCGGCGGTGGCTCTGTCGAGGTACTGCCATATGATGGCGATGCGATGTATCTTGGGATGTTCATTTCTTTTAGTGGCATCCACGACCGGGAGATCGGACATAGTATCTTCAAAGCTTGGTTCGCCTTCAGCAAGGACAAGACGGAACTCACGAACAGGCATTACCCGCTTAAGTGCCTATTGCGATTGACCAGTGCTGTTGTGGCGCCAACTTTTCTTTAAGGCAGTTGCTGCTGGACAGTGACGGCTGAAAGAGAGCGCAGGTTGAGGATTAAAGGGCGGAAGCTGATGAGAAAGAGTGTGTCTACGCCGCGGAGGTATTACGAGTTGGCAAGCGTGGACACCGAACCTTGGGTAGGTTGGATTCAACGTGCCAGGCATAGAGCCGACTATGGATTTCAGAATTCTGGCGTCCCTGGATTGGTAGAGCAACAACAAATCCGGAAGGACAGGTTGTCGGAAAAGGTTGACCGTTGTGGCGACAGACGATGGTCGAAGAGGGTGGTCGATTGGAACCCTGGAGACGTACGTCTGACCGGGCGCCCCCGCAGACGCTGGCAAGATTAGTTTTCCAGTGTTTAGCGAGCCAGGCGCCTTCCCAGTCACGGGCGCGGGGCCCCCCCCGCAGCGCTTCCTGCTTCCTGTTTTCTTTTCCGAGTCCAATGTCCGTCATGTCCGACGGTGACCCCCCGCTGACTGGCACATTGAGATCGCCGGACCTCGTGACCCAGTCGGGCCGCGGGAAAGGCCATCGCCAGGCGCGCGGTGCCGCTCGTGGTTTTGGCTTTGTCTCGGGGCGGCGTGTCCTTGCGGGTTGTCTCTGTGGCCTTTGTGGTTTCCAGGCAAGTTGGGAAGAGTGGCTGGTCAGTCCTTCCTCTCCTTCCGGCCCTGGTCAGTTTCCCTGAAGTTCTTCTTCCCCTTTCGACCTCATCCCGATTGTTTCGAGATTATCTCAGGCCCTGGCCACCTTTCTGGCCCCTGCCTGCCCCGACTTCCATACCATGTCAGGCTTCCACTTTTCCGGCTTCGCTCCAGCAGAAGATTCCAACGTAGTTTTTCTTCCGTCTTCCCTTTTTTCTTCCTCTAGGTGCCAGGCCGACGTCAACGTGATAGCGGTCGGCTGATGATTGCAGCTGCGACGGCCATAGCTTCGTCCAGACAGTAGCCTTGGAAGCGAAAGATGAAATTTGCTCTCGAAGAAAAGCGCCTCCTAATACGAGTGGGGTCTTCACTGAGTGCTCCCAATTACGGGATGAAAAGGGGGGACAATCCTCCCAGACGAGCAATTTCAGACCCCGCCCACACCAGCCATGAAAATGAAGCCTTTTTGTCCAGACCCCCCAGAACAATCCAAGACATGTCGAATCATACCCCCCTCTGATGATGATGATGCTGATGATGATGACGATGATGATGATGATGATGCGGATGATGATGATGCTGCTGCTGATGATGATGACGCAGATGATGCTGCTGATGATGATGATGCTGATGATGATGATGACGAGGAGGAGGAGGAGGAGGAGGAGGAGCCGAAGTTCGGTGCAGGCTCCCCCATCCACGACGGCCTCGCTCCTTCCCCTGCCGCCGCCGCCGCCGCCTCTGCTCCTCCCATGGCCGCCCCTCGCCGACGTGCTGCCCCGGGGGCGCCGGGGCGGCCCTGCGCCCGCCCAGGGGCGGCTCGGAGGAGGGCGGGGCTTCGGTATTCGATGCTTCGTCTCGTTCTCTCCGTCCTCCTCTCTTTCCTCCTCCTCCTCCTCTTTTTCCTCCTCTTCCTCCCCGTCCACCTCCTCTTCCTCCTCCTCCTGCTGATCACGGACGCTGGATGCGCGCTGATGTTGGCATGCTGCGAACTTTCACCACGACGCGGAATTGGGGGGAGGAGATGGTAGACTTGGAGGGAGAGATGGAGGAGGTGCAGCTGGGAAGAGGCGGACGCGTTTGTATGTGAGGAGGTGGTAAAGAAGGGGGACGGCACGGAACACATCTGTGGGTAACTATGTTACATTCACGGCGGGCTCATTACGCACAAAACTTGCGCACACGGTCAGGGGGCATTAATGAGTTTGCTGACAGTTACCAATCAATTGTTTGTTAACGCAATATGTTCTGCAATTGAGATATGATGGTGCAACACGTCCACTCGGCATGCGAAGGCACATTGTGTTTGCTTTGTGTGTTTCAGTCTCTGGCGGCACGAGTCTGATTCGCCTTGCACGTAACGGTCAGGGTCACAGCTTAAAAGATATTGCAAGGATATGTTTGCTTGCGCCAGCCAGGCCCTGCTAGGGCTCGCTTCACTCGCGACTCAGGGCACGTCGGTGGCAAGGCTCGGGGGCGCGCCAGCACAGATACCGCGCAGAGTGACAGGCGCGGCGGCCGCAGCCTCAGGTGGAGCGCGGCAAGGAGTTGCACCCGCTGGCTTAGGCAGAGGCGCAGGACCATCAGCGGCAACGGGCGAGGGCGTGATGGGCAGGGGTGCGCCACAGATGTTCCAGAGTGGCAAGGGCGGCGCGGTGGATGATATCGACCTGGTGGACGCGGTGATCTCGCTGCAGAAGCTGGGGCTGAGGACAGGGCCCAAATTCTCGCGAACACGAGCACCTTTTGGGCTGTTTCTACCCGGTCCCGAAAACGAGCAAGGTGGCACACGGGTTTGCAGGGAAGCCAGGACCCTGTCGCGACGGTGGCGACCACGTGGTCAGGGCATCGTCTTGGGGCCCCTTACCTTTACGTAGCAGCGGTGGCATGCGACCGGCTCTTCGAGGACTGCTCGATTGGACCGCGCAAGGACGTGCTGGCGGCATGCCATAAGTTTTTGTAGCCACAAAAGAGAACCTAACTGCGAGGACTGAGATGCACCGCAGTCATTTCTCTAACCTTGGGTGGGTGTATGTGCGGCCGCTTTTGCGTTCGATGCTCTTCTGTGCGTGCGCGCCCGGGCATGTGCAGGATCATGTGCGCTGTGTGTTGGTGCATCGTGTGTCTGTGCGTGCCCGCACATGCCAGCGCACATGCCCGCGCATGCCTGCACATGCGGAAGTTTGCGTCTATTTCAGGTCTGCCAGCGGCACATGCACGCACGTGCTTGTGCAATCCTCCTGCGGATGACCGCGCGGGTCCGCACATGCACCCAAATTCGTTGAAACGCGGGTCCGCGCATGCTCGCACATGCCGGCGCGCGTGCCCGCACATGACAAGAGTGCATGGGCACGTGCATGCGACTGTGCGGCATGTGCGTGGATGTGTGGCCCCTCGCGGACCTCATAGCGAAAGTGAGCACTATAGCAGTGTAGAATTGAGTTCCGTGTATTGGGTATGTTTAAAGTGAAAGACGCGTACGGCAAGGATGGTACGGGGGACAAGAACATGCAGGTGAATGGGAAGGTCAGGATCAGCTTGATGGCAGACGCGGCGATGCGAATCGGGCGCTTGAAGGTGCAAGGGGAATGCGACAGCCAGCCCTCTCGGCATCCTGAGGAGGGCGATCATGAAGGTCTTCGAAGAGGCGGACGCGGTCGTGGGACAGGGACAAGGTCCGCCCAAGGGCCCAAGGGCGAGCTCGCCGCCAGGGTCGTGGAACGGCAGTTGCGCGGGCTCCAGCAGCAGAAGTACTAGGAAGAGAGGCTGCCAGCAACATCGTCCACCTTGAGCGGCTACGGACCATGGCAGGAAATGGCAGCATCCATGCCCAGCGTATGCAATATTTTGCGTTGCAAGTTGGGGGGGCTGCGCTTGCCGGCGGGCAGATCCCACCCAACGATCGGCATGAGGCGCGAACTCTCCTTGTGCGTCGCGCTACCGTACCGGGGTTGACGATTCTATGCGGGCACCGGAGGTCCGCTCCGACGGCAGGCGGATGCCAGAGAGCGGGGCCACTCCACGTTCGCAGCAGTGAACTTGGTTCTTGGGAACTAACGTAAGGCGATCGGGCCCGCGGAAGTGCAGCCGACGATGCTTCCTAAACGCACATCGTCTCATATCGCATCATGCCGTCCCATATCACGTCATGCCATGTCAGACCACTTTATATAGTGTCATGCCATGCCATGGCATATCACGTGACTTCACATCATATCATATCGTTTCGTATCATAACAAATCACATGATATGATGGAATACCATACCGTCTCATAGTACATCATGCCATTCCGCCACAGCATAACATATCGTTTCAGATCCCATCGTGCCAGACCATACAACTTGATACCATACAATGACATGTAGTTTAGTTTTATTATTTTGTAAAATACCGTGGTCTCATGCTGGCTAATATCAGTTCACAATGTGTCACATCGTACCCTCCAAACTCGGATCACACCATATTCTATCACATTTCGTATCATATCATATCAGATCATACCACGTTAGTTCATGTCATATCACTCCGTATCATACCAAATAGCATCGTCACACATCGAATCTTTTCATGTCGTATAATTCTAGAACGTATGCGATAGCAGCATCACGTGTATTACCATTGCATTTAACTCTATATCGCAGCAACTCGTATCATAACATTTCATGACATAGCACATCATGTAATATCATACAATATTGTATCATGTCATATCATATCATATCATGTCATGTCACACCATATCATATCATATCATATCATATCATATCATATCATATCACATCATAATACATCTTAACATAACAACCATTTTGTGCCGATTCATGACACACTACCATTCGCCAAATCATATCACAATCTGTCATGTCGCTAGATATCATATGGTTTCATCGCGTGTCATGTCGGATCAAACCAGATGGCACCATCACATATCATATCATACCATATCGCAGCATAACATGTCATACCAATTCCTCCTCATCCTCCTCATCCTCATTCTCCCTCCTCCCGCTTTTCTCGCGTCGCCCACACTATAGCATCAATTGTCCTCCTCCTCCGCCTCCTCCGCCTCCTCCGCCTCCTCCCCCATTCTCTCCCCTCCTCCTCCTCCTCCTCCTCCTCCTTCTCCTTCATCCTCCTCCTCCTCCTCCTCTCCTCCTCCTCCCCTCCTCATTCCTCTTTCCGCACCTCACCCACCGTGCCCACCTCCTCTCTTTCCCTCTCTTCGCCCCCCCCCCTGATACACACTCTCGTCGGAAACGGCCAGGCTGTGTTGCGCCACGCGCAGGGCAGGGGGTGGGGTTGTGGAATGGGGGGGGGGGGTGGGGGGCTCTGCGCAACGTCTGCCCAATTTTGAGCAGGGACTCGTTTGTCGGCGTCGCGAGGGCGTGTCCAGAGTGAGAGACAGAACGCCCCCCCGCCTGCCAACGCGGCGCTGTCGGCCTCTGGAAAATATATGGTTGTTGGGCATCGTTGATCATGTTTCGTACCCAGTCGGCGTCAAGGAGAGCCCAGGCGAATCTTCCCCTATTTTGGCGCAACTGCGACGACGACGACCACGACGACGATGACGACGACAATGCCCACCCCCGCTTGGGCCCCCCTTCCGCCGCCGAGGTGGAGGGCTCCGCGAACGAGGGCGATCGCAAGGAGCGCCCCCCATCGGCGGCGAAATTCAAGCCCTACCCTCGCCGATCAACGATTTAGTCAACTTGATGGGCGGCGGGGGTAGGGTTCGGAATGCGTCGAACACATGGCGAAGTCCGAGTCCTACCACCGCCTCCCACCGATTCAATTGACTCGATAGGGTTCGGATGTCGCCACTTACCCCATCGCCCCCGCACCAGATACTGGCACTCTTCCGCGGCGTCGGCCTCTGGGGCCCGTCATCAGGAGGGGCCAGGAGGGGCGGATGTCATGGTCAGGGCCACAGTATCTCCCCGAGGCTTACGTCTCCCTGATCCTGGGTCCTGGGGCCTTGCTCAGGAGAGCAAGTCGGCTACGCGCAGAGGGGGGTAGGATGGGGGAGGCTCCTTGGAGGCACACCTGCTTCTAAGAAACCCTCCCCCCTACCCCTGCCCTCTTGTGCGCGCCGCCAAGCAAGGCTCGGCGGCGAAGTCCGAATCCTGCCCTCGCCAATCAACGGTTCAGGCCCCCGAACCCGAGGCGTAAGTCTCCCCGATGTTGGACGCCCCCTCTCTTGGAGCCTCCCTCGGGGAAGGAGGAGGAGGAGGGAGGAGGAGGAGGAGGGCGGAGGAGGAGGAGGAGAGGGTGCAGGAGGAGGACGAGGAGGAGGAAATTGAGGAAATTGAGGAAGGAGGAGGGAGGAGAGAGGAGGAGATGGAGGAGGTGAGGGCCCTGGGGGCGCGAGGCCGTCCGTCGGCTCGGCCGGCGAGGGCCCGCGGCCGCCCTCGGCGGGGCCCCCCCCCGCCGGGCCCTGGCGGCGCGCGGGGCGCCGCGCCGCCGCGTGCCGCCTCCGCCGTCTCGGGGGCAGGACGGGCCCGGGGCTGAGAGGAGGAGAGGGTTAGCGGGAGGGGAGGGGAGGAGGAGGGGGGGACAGGAGGGGGAGGAGGGGGGGGGGACAGGGGGGGGAGGGGAGGG